CACTGGGCCGAAAGATAAAGCCTTTGACTGTGGTTAAAGAGACGCTGCACTTTATTTTGAAATAGGCTAATTTTACAGCATCCCTAGAGTTAACCATTGAGTTTTACCATTATTGAATCTATTCAGTTGATCTCTGGGTCAGACAGGAGCACTTTTATCTTAGCTTAGCATAGACTATTGAAACGGATTAGACCATTAGCATCCCACTCAAAAATGACCAAAGAGTTCAGATTATTTTTTCTATTTAAAGCTTCTGTAGTTACATTGTGCACTCAGACAGACGAAAAGCAGTTTTGAAAAGGGTGAAAGGGTCTCATCTGGCTTAATTTGAGTAAAACAGAGCTGAGAATGCAGATCGCTGGGCTGACTGATAAAACCTTTGACTTTGGTTAAGAGACGCTGCACTTTATTTAGAAAAGAGCTAATTTTACACCACCCCTAGATTTAAACTCTTGACTTTTACCATTTTGGAATCCATTTAGTCATTCTCCGGGTCTAACGGGAGTACTTTTAGCTTAGCTTAGCATAAATCATTGAATTGGGTTAGACCATTAGCATCTCACTCAAAAATGACCAAAGAGTTTGGATTATTTTCCTATTTGAAGCTTCTGTAGTTACATTGTGTATTCAGACTGACTGAAAGCAGTTCTGAAAGGGCTGAAAGGGACTGTAGTCACATCTAGCTAAATTTGACTGAAACAGAGCTGAGAACGCAGATCACTGGGCTGACTGATTAAACCTTTGGCTTTGGTTAAGAGACGCTGCACTTTATTTAGAAATAAGCTAATTTTACGGCACCCCTAGAGTTAAACTCTTGACCTTTACAATTTTGGAATCCATTTAGTCATTCTCCGGGTCTAACAGGAGTGCTTTTAGCTTAGCTTAGCATAAATCATTGAATTGGATTAGACCATTAGCATCTCACTCAAAAATGACCAAAGAGTTTGGATTATTTTCCTATTTAAAGCTTCTGTAGTTACATTGTGTACTCAGACAGACGAAAAGCAGTTCTGAAAGGGCTGAAAGGGACTATAGTCTCATCTGGCTTAATTTGACTGAAACAGAGCTGAGAATGCCGATTGCTGGGCTGACTGATTAAACCTTTGACTGTGGTTAAAGAGACACTGCACTTTATTTAGAAATAGGCTAATTTTACAGCACCCCTAGAGTTAAATTGTTAAGTTTTACCATTATTGAATCCATTAAGTTGATCTCCGGGTCAGGCAGGAGCACTTTTAGCTTAGCTTAGCGTAAATCATTGAATTGGGTTAGACCATTAGCATCTCACTCAAAAATGACCAAAGAATACAGATTATTTTTCTATTTAAAGCTTCTGTAGTTACATTGTGCACTCAGACAGATGAAAAGCAGTTTTGAAAATGGTGAAAGGGTCTCATCTGGCTTAATTTGAGTAAAACAGAGCTGAGAATGCAGATCGCTGGGCTGACTGATAAAACCTTTGACTTTGGTTAAGAGACGCTGCACTCTATTTAGAAATAAGCTAATTTTACACCACCCCTAGATTTAAAATCTTGACCTTTACAATTTTGGAATCCATTTTGTCATTCTCCGGGTATAACGGGAGTACTTTTAGCTTAGCTTAGCATAAATCATTGAATTGGATTAGACCATTAGCATCTCTTTCAAAATGACCAAAGAGTTCAGATTATTTTTCTATTTAAAGCTTCTGTAGTTACATTGTGTGCTCAGACAGATGAAAAGCATTTCTGAAAGGGGTGAAAGGGTCTCATCTGGTTTAATTTGACTGAAACAGAGCTGAGAATGCAGATCGCTGGGTCGAGAGATAAAACCTTTGACTTTGATTTAAGAGACGCTGCACTTTATTTAGAAATAAGCCAATTTTACAGCACCCAACTTTCATGTTGTAACGTTCATGCCTAAATGCCTTGAGTTGCTGCCATGTGATTGGCTGATTAGAAATTTGCATTACTGAGCAGTTGGATGGGTGTACCTATTAAAGTGGCCGTTGAATATGTTATGCATTTTTCACATATATAGTATACACACACACAACCATGATATTACAGTCTGCTGCTACACATTAACCCCGAATAATTCAAATAAATTCAACATGGAAACCATAAATACTTTGAGAACTTTTATTTGAAATGTCAGTGTTCAGGAAAAGGAAACAAAATCAAAATAAAACAGCAATATAAATATTAGCATATAAAATGCAAGTAGCACACAGGAGCCGGGAATAAAAGCGTCTTATCAGAGATGTTACAGCAGGATTACAGCATCAGCAGACACACACGCACGCACGCACACACACAGATAATAGATCTATTCATATAGACATTAAGAAGCATTCTCACAGGTAAGCACAACGGAGATTGCAAAATTAATAACGGAGGTCTACTCGTGTCCTCCGCTTTGTGTCTTTTCATGGGAAAAAGCAGACAGGAAAGAAAAGATGAACACAAAAATATATGCATAACATCACAACTTCTAGACTAAGAGTGTGTCACTATTCGTTTTTCATAGGTAAAAGTTAAACTCTTTATTTACAGGTGCGTTAGTTGGCGTTCATAGTACTAAAGAACTACATTGGTAACACGGAGTGTCCAAAAAAAAAAGATTTTTTTTTCTTCTTCTTCATTTTAATATTTTTGTGCATTTTTTTTTTCTGAAAAATACAATGACATTCCAGTAGTAAGCCATTCCTCTTGAGCTGATTATCCGGAAAGGTTTCATGTGTTTTCTATTTACAAAGGAACGCCATGCCAAGGGTGTTCAAAGGAGAAATGAACGAAAAAATCAGCATTTGGATGGAACATTTGAATTGTGAGTGTCTTTCTAGCTTCCCAAAGCGATAATAGTTGCCTTTAGTGGATGGTGCCATGAGAGTGAACATGTACATTCAGTGAGTGCAAGTTGTCCTAACTCCTTCACTTTGTATTTAATTTATAATATTCATATTATATCCGATAAGCATTTGCCATCCATTGTGAATATTTCAGAACTTTACTAACATTTTCTGAGACCCCGTCCACACGAATACGGTATTTTTAAAAATGCTTGTTTTTTTTTCTAAGCAATTTCGCTGTTTGTGCACACAAAAACTTCAGTGTATCACATTTTCTCACTTTACTCTTGAACTTCCCCATGTTGGTGATCACTCTGATTATCGCCCCTTGTTGGTTCGAAAGACAGTGTCGGGTGATTGAAGCTGAAACATGATGTCATGTGTGCTGTTCTCTCCTTACTGATTGGCCAACATGGTTGGGTTCACACCAAAAGTGGAAGAAGTGATTGAGAAATTCCACACATTCACGGCAAACACATTGTGGGATGGTAATCCGCCTCTTTTCTCACGTTTATATTTACTCCTATGCAGTTTACTTGCAAAAAAACGTCCCTGTTTGGTGTGAAACCAGCGTAAAAATGTAATTATGGCTATTTGTTGGTTCAGAAGAGTAGGGAAATCTGCATACGTGTGGACATGGCCTGAGTTTTAAAGCCAACTCCTTTGAGTCTAACTTACAATGTCAGGATATTTTGCCATCAAACTGAACTCTACAGCACTGCTAAAGAGCTTCAACACTTCAGAATAACCCGGAAATACTAAATTCTAAATGCTTCCCCATTCTTGTTGGTTCAGAAGAGTGGGAAAAACTGCATAGTTGTGGACAAGGCCTTAGTTTCAAAGCCATTTACTTTCAGTTTTCAGTTTAACTCGCAATATCAGTGTATATTTCTGTCAAAGTGAACCATTACTAACTCTCCAGTACTGCTAAAGAGCTTCAACACTTCAGAATCAACTGGAAATACTAAATTTTAAGGCGATCTACCACTGGGCACATTATTAGAGCTGTAAAGCTTAACTTTTCAATTTTAGGAGGTCGATTTAAGAATCTGTTGGAGACATCCAATAGATTAATAGGTACCGAAAAAGCCCATAAAGAGGGGGGATCACCAGAATGGGGAAGTCCCAGAGTAAAGTGAGAAAATATGATACACCAGTGTTTTGGAAAAACGGTCTTTACGCAGTTTCCTTGTTTATGTAAAGCACTTTGAATTGCCACTGTGTTTATTTAGTAGAGTAGGGAAAACTACATGTATGTGAGTTTTAAAGCCAATTTCTTTTTTAGTTTTCAGGTTAACTTGCAATATCAGTATATATTTCTGTCAAAGTGAATCTTTACTAACTCTCCAGCACAGCTAAAGAGCTTCAACACTTCAGAATAGCCCGGAAATACTGAATTCTAAAGCTATACTTCTGGGAGGGGGTAGAACTCTATGAAATTTACTTTCAGAAGGAAGTTGAATTTGGGGGGAACGTAATTAGAGCTGTAAAGCTTAACTTTACGATCCTAAAATCGAATCTGTTAGAGACATCAGAAAGTACCAAAAAAGTCCACAGAGGGAGAGTGATCACCAGAATGGGGAAGTCCCAGAGTAAAGTGAGAAAATATGATACACAGAGTCTTTATAGTCGCTGTTTTTATATTATTTATTTTATTTATACTTATAAGAAATGTGCTATTTAAATAAACTTGCCTTGCCTTAATGCGTCCCCATTTGGTGTGACACCGACATAAAATGTAATCCGCCCCATGTTGGTTTAAAAGAGTGGGAAAACTGCATACGTGTGGACACGGCCTGAGTTTTAAAGCCAATTCTTTTTCAGTCTAACTCGCAATATCAGTATGTATTTCGGTCAAGGTGAATCTTTACTAACTCTCCAGCACAGCTAAAGAGCTTCAACACTTTAGAATAACCCGGAAATACTGAATTCCAAAGCGACATATTCCCAGGAGAGGGGGTAGAAATCAGGGGCTTTGAGATTTACTTCCAGAAGGAAGTTGAATTTGGGGGGCACGTAATTAGAGCTGTAAAGCTTAACTTTACGATCCTAAAATCGAATCTGTTAGAGACATCAGAAAGTATCGAAAAAGTCCACAGAGGGGGAGTGATCACCAGAATGGGGAAGTCCCAGAGTAAAGTGAGAAAATATGATACACCGAGTCTTTATT